GTCTGAGGACAAGTAAACTTACCCTGTAATTTAATAATTGTAGTCCACTTTTTTATGACTCCAATTTTGGACGGAAACTTCTTGTTCACGTCTCCTCTGAGGTTTTACAAACTCATAAAGAGTGTGAAGCTTTCAGTGAAGCCAGTCTTGAGTTGAAAAAGGCAAAGCTACCAAACCGTGTGGAGAGTGACTTAACTGTGAAGGAACTACTCATCCCATAATGCACTGCAAATCCCAAACTCCCCTATAGACTCGATTATTTTCGTTATCGCAGTCTTGCTGAAAACCTTGAGAACATGTTATATCGTACACCACTTCGTTCACTTGCTTTCTGAAGCTTCGCGCTCACTAAGCTAACTCATGTTTAGACATTTTAAACATCTCCATGGTAACATGGAGATCGCCAACAATCATTGATGTTAAAACAGCCATCATAAGCAAGTCCTAGACTCCTTTACTAGTTGCATAAACTGTTAAAAATAATGGATAAGCCCTTGTGATAGTAGTAAACCTAACTGGTCTCTCAGATGGCCGCCCCTCACTGAGCCTGGCTCCGCCAGGTTTTTTCCTGTTAAAAGGGAGTTTTTCTTTCCAGCTGTCTCCCAAGCTTGCTTATAGGGGATTGTCTGTTGTTGGGGTTTCTCTGTATCATTGTAGGATATTTACCCTACGATATGAAGTGCCGTGAGGCGACTGTTGTTGGTGCAATATAAATAAAGCTGAACTGAACTGAAACTGTCCAAAGTGGTAAAAATAAAGATAATCAGTAGACACAAAGTATGGTGTACCATCTAATATTAAGAATAAAAATAGAACTTTAATAATCCCTCGGGTAGGTTCCTCTGGGAAATTCAGTGAAAAGCTGATTTTTTCTAGAATAAAAAGAGATAAGGATATAAAAGCAGCCAATCATGGATAATCTGCTGCATGTGCTCACTGAGGCTGTGGGTGAACCTCTGAGATGTTAATGGTTAATCATAAATGAGATGACAGCTGAAACATGGTGCTGATGGGCTCTGTCTGAGAGGCACTGCTGCACTGACGTGTGCAGCCTGTGGAGGGCGCTGGCAGCACTCTGCAGCTGCTCCTGGTTGATTTGTATCCTTGCTGATTAGATTTCTGGCAGTAATGAAGCTGCTCTGTGTTTACTTCTTGCATTTGAATGCCGGGGGCCGGTGCTCTGCTGTCTGGACGTCTGCCAGCCGGAGCTTCGGCTCAACTTCGCTGTATTAATGATGCTTTCAGGTCACTCGCCATACAGTGGTTACTACTGTAACCCCCCTTTAAAGCACATCTTCATCGTGTTTCTGTGAGAACTCGCAAAGGCACCTCTTTGATCGCTTACAGCTGTTCCCTTTGTTTTATTGTTCCAATTCACACTTTCATTATTATGATTATTATTGTGATTATTATTAAAATTGTCAAACATCTTTGTGTCATTTGTGCCACGGTGCCCATCTGCTGCTGGCACACCACCAGGTGTGTGTGGCAGAGGGCAGGGGAGGGAGGAGGAGGAGTCTGAAGCATGCAGGCCTCCAGGTTTATTCATCTTTCATCCTGTGTGTGTGTGTGTGTGTGTGTGTGTGTGTGTGTGTGTGTGTGTGTGTGTGTGTGTGTGTGTGTGTGTG